TTAAATGAACTAACATTTTTCATAACTGCATTAAAAGTATCTCTCAGCACTGGAGATCTTGGTTCCCCCTTAGCAGCATACTTTGAAAGATATTCAATACATGCATGATGATCAATAATAATTTGTAAATCACAATTTGCTCTYCAACCCATGAGTTGTGTCGGATTATGGTTATTTAATCTCGGATCATTCCTTTTTGTTACTATTTTTGCTTTAAACTGAAGAGTTTTGTCTTTAGTATTAATCTTTTCAAATTCAAGTTTAGTTTCATCACAACATTTGAAAGGAAAATGAAATCTGCAACTAGCTTCATCTTGCATATCRCTCCTTTTTAAACAGTAGTTCGGACTACAATTGGTATGTCTTTGAACAGTATTCAGCAAATTTGCATAATCACTTGCACGTTCATCAATAGGTATGTCATCATGTTTTCTTTTACAAGGATGAACATTTGGTTTTATCCAATTTGTGTCTGGTGGAGAAGGGTTGGATGTAGAAAGTAGMAAATCTACATATGMGCAAATTTTTTGAGCTGCTTTTTTACCATTTTGAATAATAAGTTGCCTATCTTCTTCATCAGAAGAAACAATTTGTTCAGSTAAAAAACCTTTTAAAGCTACATCAGTTAAGTCACAAAGAYCTGGGTCAGTTTTTAATTTTGCTGTGCCATGACAGTGTATACTACCTCTAGCTTGAAATTCAKATCTATACCAATGCCACTCTGCTCCTAACGTGTCATAAAGCCAATGTTTTAAAAATGATTCAAAACRCTTGGTAAAATACCAGTCTACTAAATGAGGATTGTTTATCACATTTTGCCTCCTATCTTCACTACTAAGAGATGAAGGATCATCATGAAAAAGTGAATGTAGATCTGGCCAATGCATATCTGCTGATGAAAACGTAAAAAAAATTGTGGGTGCCTCTTTGTAAGAAATGATAGCTTTTAAATCTTCTMTGACTTTGTACCAATATGCAGAGCTTCCTGTGATATTAGCCAAATACCTTGAAATTTTAGACATGAACACCGAAGAACTATTTGATTTAGCCATTTCATTTAATTCATCGATTGTTAGATGTGATTCACCAGGATTTTGTTTTAGAAAGATATTACTTTGTTGCAATGTTCTAGATCTCTGTATCATRTTGAGAGCCCAATATGAAAAACGAGGATGATTAGCAAACCTGTAGACCCACTTATCATCAAAATATTCAGCAAACTTAATGAGATGTTGTATTTTGCCACTTARTGGGACGTCTCTTTTTATTGCTGGATTGGTAGGATCACCTTTCCCATCAGGAAATAATGTTGGAAATGCCATAGTTGCAAGAAATGGT